ATGCCCTACACATTGCACACCCCCCCCGCATTGCAAACCCACCCCGCACACCACACACTGCACACCCACCCCGCATTGCACACCCACCCCATGCACTACGCATTGCACACCCACCCCGCATCGCACACCCCACACCAGCCCCTCGGTGCTGCAGCTCCTGCAGAGGCTCAGCAGCAGCCCCAGGCAATCACGAGCCCGGTGACATCCCCCAGCTCTCGGCGATTCAGCTGAACCAGAACCCACGTGGTGTCCCCCCCGTGGGTTTTATTCCCCACTCACTCTTTGCTAAGGACACATCACTGAGTCTTCCCCGCTGCCATCGCCGTGGTCTCCTGGCTCTGGGTACCGGCCGCCAAGGGCCACCGAAGCAGCTGCATCTGGAATTGAACCGTCAGCGGCACTGGCTGGAGCCTGCCACCCTCCTCCAGTTCAGCAGACTCTTTTTTTTTTCTTTTTCCTGTGGAAAGAAGTAAATTTGTCACTGCCTTTACAGCGTAAATCACCCTAAAAGCAGCAGTGTGCAGTGCCCACCACGTTAACACTGACTTCCGGGCCTTGAGGGAAAATCTATTTCACTATGACTTTGGGTAAGAAGCCCAAAAAGCATCTATAAGCAAGCAATTGATCCGGGTGTAATTTTCTTTTGTTGTTAAACTCCTCTATAATTCCTAGGAAAAAAAAAAAAAGAAAGATGCAGAAATAAATCATTTCAAGGATCCTGGAAAATCAAGCGGTGGGGTAAAATGAGACCTACGTGAGACTACTTCCGAAGGCATCCTTCAATGTCTGGGCAAATTGTTCGCTTGAGACAAAGCTTGCTGCCTTTCCTCTTTGAGCCGTCTGGAAGCGATCCCAATTCCTCTGAGAGGACTTATTATTTGTGTGCATTTGCCGACTGAGGGATGCAAATCAGCCTCAGCTCCCGGCTGCGCGAGTGCCGGTCCCTACGCAGGATGCACGGCAGCAGCGGAGCGAGGGCTGGGAGCCGTCCCTCGTGCCTCGGAGCATGGCCACTGCCTCAGCTCTGAGGTGCTTCGTGGTACCTGGGTGATGAGCAAGTGCCAAACGACCACGGCGCGATTCGGTGACTCATGGAGCAGCCAGGGCTTGCAGATGCTACGTGCGGCGGCGCTTGGGTGGCCCACCTGCCCCCCCGGCTGTCCCTGCCCCCCCGGCCGCAATCGGGGTGTACTTGTGCGTCATGAGTCACAGCAGCACGCGCGGCCACGGGACACTGCCGGCACTGGGCGTAGCAAGCTGTGGGGGCAGCTGATTTTTAGGCGCTATCTTTTTGAAATATGCGCTCAGTGGCCTTGCGGTGCAGCTGCCCAGCCTCCACCTGCACAGGCACAAGGGGACACCAAATTAAGCACTAATCTCTAATCGCCCTGGGTTTCCTGCATCAGCAGTGGCTTTCTGCGCACCCAACACCCATCTCCAGCCACACAAGCCCCTGCGGAACGGGTTCATTCTCGCTCGAGCTGAAGTAAAGGCCTCCTGCATGCACACTGACCACAGGCACTGGGGTGGAAAGGAAGTAAAAAACACCACCACTAACCTTCCCTCGCTTGACAGCAGCTCCCTGCTTCAGCAACACTCTGAGAATATATTGCCAATGCACATCACCTTGTGGGGAACAGGAATTCAAGGAGTTTTTTCTTCTTTTCGGGTAGCTGGGAAGGCTACCAGGCTTCCTCCAGTGCAGACACAGCCTAGGACTGCAAGGTTCTGAGATCCTCCCCAAAGACGGGGACCTCGCTGTGAGTGACAGGGCACAGAAAAGCAATCCTGGAGCTCTTGGGGTCAGGAGTTAATTGCTCTCTTCAATTAGCAACTAAATCTGATGCTAGAGTGGGGACACGAGGCTCCTTTGGTAGCTCCGAGCAGCGCTGTGGAGGCCTGGCCCTCTCCATGCTCTCCTCGCCCCATGAGCAGCTCTTCAGCGTTGCCCTGCCACCCCTTTCCTCCCCTACTTCCTCCTGCTCTTGCATTACCCCTCTGATGTGCTTGCACTGCTATTTTTGTAGTCAAAACAAGATTGCTGGAAAAATAACATGCAAGAGGCAGGTTGAGGTTTGTCTCCAACGGTTTAAGCAACGCTGCGGGCTGAGCAGACTGCGAGCTCCGCGCTGGGGAGGCAGGGGACACCCGTCAGGGGTCAGGGTGGTATTTTCATGGGTGCCAGCAGGCCAGGATCTGTTCCTGGCCCCACCATGGGTGCTGGCTGGGGCACCTGGGGCTCTGCGCATGTCTCATCTCTAAACCAGAAAGAACAATAATTCCCTCCACACAGTGCTTTGAGAGGTGAGTTGGAAACGGATGAGGACCTTATTATGCATCCCAGACAGCACTCCCCCCAGCTGCCCATGCCGGCCCACGCCACCGGCCACATTTGGCAGCCGACACAGCTGTGTCACCCCAAAATCTGCTTTGCCCTTCTCCCCTGGCTCACGGAGCTGGTGGGTGTGTGTCGCTCCCAGGACAGCCAGCAGCCCACCCTCAGCGCTTGTTCAGACGCTGATTCAACAAGGTGTCCGGGCGTGTGTCTAACCCTACAGCCCCCGCAGTCAATGGATGCATTCACAGCCCGGAGCTCAGGATGTGAGTAAGCGCCCTGCTCGGCAGCGCTGGCAGGACGGCGGGGACCTGCGGCTGCCTCCCAGCCCGGCACCGCTGGTGTTTGCTCTCAGACATGCCACCCCCTGCCCAGCCAGTTCCAGACTCCGTCACCTTTGGCAGATGCCGTGGTTTTCTGGCTGGCTTGACTTTCTCTCTCTGCTTTTGGTTTTTTGCTCTTGTCTTTGCCTTTTTTCCCGTCCTGCGGAGAGAGATGTTACCATAGTTAGGCTCTGTTGAAATTCACTTCCCGCGTTCAGTCCTGCGGCAGCCTATCTGGGTTCTGTCTCTGGCATTTAAAGGGCAAAGGAAAGGGGTGAGGGGAAGCTGGAGCACAGCGGCAGGGCTGCTCGGAGAAGAGAATCCAGGAAATAGGAAGTGTCGGTACAGCTGGTGCGTGTTGCCAGGCCAAGAGAGAGAGTGCATCAGAGGAAGCACGAGTGGTTGCTTTCACATTCTCAGATGGAAAAATAAACTCATCTATTTTCTTAGTCTTGGTCTATAAAAAGTAGCAGTACTCATTGCTAATATCAACATTAAATAACGATACCACCAGTGATGAGTGGTGCTTAGGCAGGATTATTTCAGCCCCATTTTATGGAGCAAAGAACCGAGGGATGGATGGGAGGGATGGGGGGCTGAACCTCAGCCTGCAGCACTGCCTGGCCCTGGCAGCACTGCCTCACCACCCTGCCCTGGGACACGCTCCTTACCTTCTCCTCCAGGCCTGGTAGCTGCAGTGGCTGCTCAGTGATCAGGATTCCAAAGTCACACACAGTTGCCACCAGGTCCTCGGTGGCCAGCAGGCTCTCCAGGGTCACCCTCACAGTGCCCAGGGTCCTCCAAATGGGAGGGTCGCTGCGGAATTCACATGGCTTCTCCTTCTTCTTTTTCTGCTTGTCCCTGGGCGCAGGAACCTGCAGGGCATCGGCACAGGGACAAGCCTCAGCAGAGGGTTGGGGTCCCTTTATCAGACAGCAAGCAACCCCGACCTTGCCCACCACTGCATCCAGACCGAGATGTCTGTAAAACTACTGCTGTCTCCCTCCCATAGCAAGGGGGACACTTTGGCGAGGGGTCTGGGATGGAGGAGAGATTCTCTGACACACCAGACTGGCCCAGGAGAAGGGCCCTCGTTTCCCCCATCGTTATTTTTGCAGCCCAAATGGTGTTTGGACATCATTCCCTCCCAGCGTCCTACCTTGGCACCATCCTTCTGCAGCCTGGGTCTTGCCTTCCCCATCGTGACTGCGTTTTCTTCTGGATCAGGATCGACAGGCCACGAGAGCACCTGCCCGGAGAGAGGAGCTGGTACTGCAGGGACGTCCAGAGACCCTGGTCCGGGGTCACCACTGTGCTGAGCTGCCTCCCAGAGGGAACACAATACCACTGCTGGGCCTCCCAGCAGCTCCTTCCCCTTTCATCCTGCTTTGCTGTACACTCACCTTCTCCTCCATGACCGAGATGATCGTTCCAGACGCCAGGTAAGACTTCAGCCCCACTAAGTCCTTGGCAGTGTGCTCCTTCCTGTAGCTGCAGTCAATGGTGTCTGCCCAGGGCTTTCCGGGGGTGACAAACACCTTTGCTGTGCAGGGACACAAAAAAGCTCTGAGGAGAGACCACTCCTTCCTGAGTACAGAAGGGACCCCCAGGACACAAGCAGCGCCAATTCGTTATTCATTGGTCTCAGTAACAACCCAGCTGCAGC